TTATGATACAAAACTCAAAAAGAAATCTTGTGGGGGCAGTAACACTCCTATATTAGCAAAGTCTTTGAGGTCCCTTAAAGGTTGGAGTATGACCTTAAATTCAGGCAATCCTCCTCTTGATCCACTGGACAATGACTACCACTGCTTCCTTCTGACTCAGAAATCTGACTAAAGAACAGATGAGAAGGACTGGGTGGTGGGGTACTTTGTCTTGTAGGATAAAACACAGAGAATAATTAGGTAATATGATATACCTGGGAATATGCTAACTTTTACCATAAATATGAGGAGAATCAGAGAATTTCCTTTCTGTTTTGGACAATTCCAATTGCTTTGGACAAAGTCAGACAATGTGGTGGTATAAAAAAAAGTCTCTGAAACCAGTATTATAGGCTACCTATACTTAAGCAGCAAGGCTGCTCCACTGCACTGTAATTGCAGCATGTCAGAGCAGGCTCAATTAATGGAGTCTTCTGGAGCGTGGTAATTACTACGTTCCAGTGGGCTCCAGCATCTCATGTCTCAGTATCCCCATGCTTAAATAGGGTGGCAAGAGACCTTTAACTAAAGCTCATTTGATGAGCTTTAGTTAAAGCACCCTTGCTGCCATGTTTAAGTGTGGGGACACTGATACACAAGACGCTCCAGGCGCTTTAACTACAGCGGCTCTTGGAGCTGCTCTAATTAAAACACCACAATAAAAGCCCCCCCCCCCCCCCCCCCCTTGAAGCATGTGTATAAATGCCAATATGGATGAAGTCAGATACTGGGGAGTCATTTGTTAGAGTAGATTCTTAAAAATGCACAACAGAAGGCAATTATAATTCTATGTAAAACCTACATTTTTGTAGAAATAATAAAAGTTCATGCCTTTAGTAACTGTCCATGCAATTGAAGTATCAGATTAATGTAGGTATCAAGGTCTGTTAGCTTCCCTATCTTCTGTTTTTACCACTCACACTAAGTGTTGCCTTAACACTCTGTAATATTTATGGAGCAATAGTGTTGGTTTTTCAGCATGCTTAAGCCTGGGCATTAATCTTTAGGAATCTCTACCATTTTTCTGGATGGCAATCTGCTTTCAGATCAGACTGATGCTAGATTCCTCTCATGAAGTTAGCTTATGAAGCATATAGTTTATGTCCTGTTTTTACAAAAATAGCATATATATTAATTTTTATAAAAGTGAAATGTTGTCTTTCAAAATTAAAGGCTTAACATCTAAACAGTCTTGTGGATAACATTGATTTAGGTCTATCTTGGACAGTTTTGGTGATGCTGTTTTGATATTACACCATTTAACTAGCATGGTTAGCTGAATTCAACGTGCTGCCTTTAAGGCAGGCAATTGAGGTATCTCAACTGGAACCCTGTTTATATACAAAGAATGTATAGAGTGATGTTTCCCTCATCTCTGGAGGACTCAAGCAAGAGACTTGTTTCTTTGCTTGTAGCTTGAAGCCTTTTCCAGTCAGTATTCAGTCCAAAAGCTCTCTAGGTTTTTCTCAGAGTTATGCTGTAAGGGAGCATCCAGATGTGCATGGATATTTGGTTCCCTGGGGATTAGTGGTGGCACATCTTGCAACACTGCTACTTGTCTCTGGGGAACACCTGGGCCATGTGTGCTTTAGTGCGTGGCAAGTTGCCTTGAGTGGGGTAGGGGAGGCTGGGGCCAGCACTGTGCTGGCCCCAGCAGCCTTACCCTGGGCCCGCCCCCAGCAGCCTTACCTGGCCTCCCCTGCTCCCCCACCTGTGTCCACCCCATGATGTCAGCTGAGCTCCTTCCACAGACTTACTTACGGAGACCTGCAGGAGCTGCTGTTCACCACTGGGCCTGGCTGCCATGTGCATGTGTGCGCATGGACATGCATGTGGCACCCCCTGCCCCCTGCTCCCCCCAGCAGCCCATTGGGTTTCAATGTTTCCACATTTTTCTTTTTTAAGGGAGAAGTCCATGTTTTTCTATATTTTTGCTCAGCAAATGGAAAACCTGGATCCCTGATAATGAGTTATACCAGGCCCAGCAAGCCAGCAAGTGTCCTGCAGCTTTATGCAAGTTTCCAGCATAAGGCTTCCGTGCCTGTAACTGGGCACTCTATACTGTATCTTGCTCAGGGAGTTGGGTCCTGGAGCAAACAACAAGCAATATCTGTTTAGGTCCAACTTCAGTCACTGTAGACAGAGGCAGACTGCTCTGAAGTCCTCTCAGCAAAATTTGGTCGGCTGTTGTAAACCTCTGCTGGATTCAAAACCCCAAAAAATCAAGATCATGATAAAACTTGTTTGCAAAGCATGAAAATTAGAGCTCAGCACTCATTTTCATCCATCGTTCTTATAGATAAGATGGGTTGTTAGTTAAATCAGTTTGCAAATTCCCTTCTGTACTTTGTCTCCCTTTTCTTTTAAAACAAAATTGGCATTTCTGGTAAGGTACATTTGACCTCTGATTTCATTTAAAGTGAGATTCATCAGCTGAAAGTGCAGTGTCCATCATAGTTTTGGATGGACTCCTGTCTTCCTGTTATTTTACAGAGAAATAACAGAAGTGATAGGTCAGGAAATCACTTATTTGAAAAGGTATAATTTCCTGGACTGGCACACACACAAAACTCTTTTATAGGCAGTGGTGGGACTAGGAAAGATTTTAGAAAGGGCATTATTTTATAGCTCTACGTGCAGAGTAGTCATGGTGAGGCATCCCTCCCAACCCAGGGTTTTTTAACCAACAAATAAGTCTTGCTCACTCAACCCTGCTCAGGCATGCCAGAGGCCAGCAATTTTGTTTAAAGATAAGTGGATGGGCGTTTGTACCCATCAACTTTTTTGCCTTTTCTTGCGCTCCAACAGCATGACTGTTTGAACACGCAGGTTTTCCAGATGTTTTAAAAATCTTTCTGGTGCATTAAAGTAAAACTTTTTGGATGTAGTTTAGTTTGGCTCTCTGTGAATTAAAGTGTCATGTCCATGGATTTGTTTTGTGCAAACACAAAGGCATTCAAAGACATGTAATGAGCCTCTTTGTCCACCAGATGGTGCTGCAACTTTCTTGTAATTCATCCCATGCCAGGTGCACCACGGCAGATGCAGATGCAGTGGTTGGTCCACCCAGCTGATCATACATCAGTGTTCATTCTGCTGTACAGACACCTGTGGACAGGCACCCCACCACTCATACCCCAGCCATACCCTGGCTAGGGTGAAAATGGCACCATCACCTGCCCCTGCCCCTGACTGAATGCAGCCCGTAGTTGCCGCTTTATTAATTTTTTCTTATGCTGTGTACTGGCTCCTGTTGCACTGTTGCGATTGCACAAGAGGTCACTCCACAGTCAGACAGACCCACGGCAGCCAGCAGCCCTTAATTGAGAATATCACAGTTACCACATAACCTGCCCCAGGTTCAGGCCAGGAATGAATCGCTTGCATGCCTGCTGGGGAGGGTACCATAGACTGCTTTCATGTCCCTTTCAGTCAGACACAGCTGAATGGTGCATGCCTTGTCAGTGCATGCAGCCTGTAGCTGCTCCTCCCCCCACTTTTTTGTGTGCTGGCTGCTGCACCATTCATGAGTGCACAAGGTTATCCAGCTCCCCCCCATTTAGACTCATGGCAGCATGCAAGATAGCAGCTGGTGCCTGTCCACTTCTAGCACTGATTGCAGCCAGCCCATAGCCACCAGGTTCCCTTGTGCTGCCATGCCAGTCACGATTGCATAGTCTCACTCCATCCTGCTGGCCCTAATTCATGATTGCACCCCTGGCCCTGGCAGTGCCTCTCAGTCCCAAACCACAGTCAGTCCCTATCCTCCCCCGCCCCCCATAGATGGATTAACACATGGGGCATGGGCCAGCTGGGCCAGGCCTCAGTCTTGGTGCAACCAAAACCGATGGTGGGCTGTGGCTGCTGGGCACCGTTTGCTGGGTGCTACTGTGCTGGACTGAGCCATGGCGAGGCAAGGGGCTACCCCGGACCATGGTCTGTGCCACATGATCCTGGTGGGCAGCGGCTCTGCACGCCTGGTGCTGGCTCCAGCATGGACCTTACAAGTGGAGGCAGCCATGGCTCATGCCTTGGGCCTAGGGGGCAGCGTATCCTGCTATGACTGCTGCTCCTGCGGCACCAGTCAGGGATGGACCCCACAGCTGCGGGGTCCATGGCTCGTGCCTTGGGGGCAGCATGTCCCACTCTGGCCGCTGTTCCTGTGGTGTCAGCCGGGGACAGAGCCCATAGCTGCGGGGCAGGGCATGAGGTCTGGGTGGGGCAGGCCACAGGAGGGGGGCCCAGGGCCCCAAGGCCCCAAGGAATCTTAATCTACCCCTGCCTCACCCCCACCCGCCGATGTGCCATGCTGTTGCTGCTTGGGGATTCACTGGGTTTTCCAGTATTGATTAAATGACCTTCCCTGATGTTTCAAACAACTGTTTATTTGCAAGTGGGGATAGCAGACACAGAAAGAAAAGGAGACAGATAATTCTCTTTTACATAATTAACCTTTAATGATTTATTCACTCTAACATACAACACAGCCATTACAGAATTTTCAAGGTAAACAATTTGCAGGAAGCAGTGAGCACTCTTCAGCTTAGTAGACCCATGGAACCAAGTGAAACAGTTACATTTGGGGAAAAGTGAGCACAGAGAGGACCCCAAGGCCATTGGGGCAGAGAGCAAAGGGAGCAGGCACACAGACCTACACTCACAGCAACCCCCCACCATGCAGCCAATTGACACTGTTACATGTGGGGGAAAGGTAGGAGCCAACCACTTTATTTATCATTTTTACTTACTTATTTTTTTATCATACTTTTTTTACTTATCTTTGTTTTACTTATTTATTGATTGACCATACTTTATTCATAATTTTTACTTACAGGCAAGGAGGGCAGTCCATGGCCAGTAGGGCAGACAGCAGAGGCAGCAGGTAGACAGGCAGACAGACTGAACACCCACCACCCTACAGTCCCTCCCCAAGTAAGCAACTGACACCATCACATGTGGGGGAAAAACAGGAGCTAAACACGTCAACATTTATTGGCCTTTACTTGCAAGCAGGGAGGGCACCCTTTGGCCAGCGGGGCAGACAGCAGAGGCAGCAGGCGGGCATCCACCATACATGGGTTGCTAACCACTTGATTTATTGGACTTTACAATGTGTCCACTATGCATGGTTTTTTTGGAAGGCAATTGCAGGACCATTGCAAGTGAACACTGACATGCCTCAACCACACTGCACAGGCAGTGACAGCGTGTCCAGATGTTGTTCTCAGCCTTTGTATATGGTCAGCTTTTCTTCTTTGGCAGTGGTGGCAGTGGCAGAAGCAGCAGCATATCAATCAGAGCTGAAAACAAGAAGGAAGGAATGGGGGAGGGCGCATATTAGATGACCATGTAGGAAGGTTTCTGGAAAAACAGGTTTCTGGGGAGACATGCTTCCTTCAAACCTGGGCTAGTGTGGGGCAAGGCTCTTTTCTGGGGAGATGTTGCTTGCAAACCTGGGTTCTTGCAGGCCTGGGCTCCTGTCTGGGGAGAAGTTGCTTTTAAACCAGGGTTCTCGCAGGCAGTATTTTTTTTTCTGGGGAAAGTTTGCTTTCAAACCAGGGTTCTTGCAGGCCCGGGCTCTTTTCTGGGGACACATGCTTCCTTCAGACATGGGGTATTGTGGGACAAGGTTCTTTTCTGGAGAGATGCTTGTTTCAAAACAATGTTCTAGCAGGGCAGGCCTGTTTTTGGGGAGATGCTTCTTTCAAACCAGGGTTCCTGCAGGGCAGAGCTGTTTTCTGGGGAGATACTTCTTTCAAAGGACAATAAGCTGAGAATGAGTAGGCACACCTGAGAAATATCTACCATTTTCTGAGTAGATACTTCTCAGGTGTGCCTATTCATTGATCCAGTAAAAGCCAGTATTATGCACCCAGGGTGTATTGGTGGATTCCAGGGGTATTCCTAAACCCCACATTTGAGTTCAAAGTGGACAGGTGGTATATCACCTTCCTCACACCGACCATGGTAAAGGGCAAAGGCTCTGCTACACCAACAGCTAGAGCATGGATACCTGACTGGGGTAATAATTGACATGCAGATAGGAGGTCACTTGCAATGCTAATTGATTGTATGCAGCTCCCATTACCATTCAGAGCACCGCCCCCCACCACACACACGTGCATGCCCATGCTTGGTGGTGGTGCTATGTGCTAAGAAGGGTTCTTTATGGGGGTACAGGGGGCATGGTAGGAGATGGGGAGGGGTGTGATTTCACATGATTTTGGGGTGTCCGCAGCTTGGGAGGGGGGAGGTTAAAGGGGGGTTAGTGTGAGGCTCCCAGGTGGGGGGGGGAGTGAGGAGGAGGGGATTAATTGTGTATTACTGGTTTACATGTATCCCCTTCTGTAATTCAGTAGTGAAGTCAGCAGCAGGGTAGATAGGCATGTGGCTCCCCCTGTTGGAATTTACAGGGATTGCACACCAGGCTTAATTCTTTCTAAAGCCTACTATGTGCAAACACTGATGCAACTCTCTAAAATAAGCAATTTTAAATTTATAAACCTATTAAATTTAAATTGAATGAGGATTAAGCCCCACAATGTGTACAGGTGCCCAAGGGCAGTGGATGTGGTATACCTTGCATTTAGCAAGGCTTTTGACACAGTCTTCCATGACTTCTCATGAATAAGTGAAATGAATATGGCCAGTGGAGAAGCACATGAGAGGTTGGGATCCATACCCATGTTCATATTCTTTTCCCCACTCGGTCAGTGGGAGATGATGGCTACTGCTATCTTAGGGTTGGAGTAATGGGTAAATAGATCCACAGTCTGGAGGATTTTTTTTCCTGCTTCTCCCATTTCCTATTGTGTCCTGGTGGAGACTCAAGCCTCAAGCCAAAGTGCTGTGCTACATCTGATGGTCTGTTTACTGAATTCCTATTTCTGCTGCTGTTTTGCAACTTGCTGCAGATTGTGTGCTCAACAGGGGTGTGTGAAGCGGGTCCTATTTGATTTGGATTCAGCCTGAATCAGGGATAGTGATTCAATTCACTGATTCAGATCACTGTCCCCGATTTGATTTGACCAAATCCAAATCTGAAGATTCGATGCTGATTCAGCTTTAAATGTTTTTTCTACATCCCTTGAGGTAGCAGGCATGGCTCATGATCGCTACAATGCTGGGACACATGGAGCATCCCACAGGTGTAGTGGGGCCCTCCACATGCTAGGCAGTGAACCCGGAAGTGGACTGGAAGTACTTGCAGTCCACTTCCAGGTCTACTGGGGAGCATGCTGGGCCCCCCCGCCCATGCCTCCCCTGCTTGGCAATCAGCCACAGGGGGATTCCAGGTGCCCCCCCAAGACCCAGGAGGCACCAGTCACTGAGCCAGGGGGGCAGCCCCCCGTGCATCCCCGGTGGACCCAGAAGTGCTTCTGGTCTACTTCTGGGTCTGCTGCTGAACACTCTGGGGAGCCCTCTGTGCTTCTGTGGGACACTCGATGTACCCCAGCATCACAGCATTCACTAGCCCCTGCTACCTAGAGGTATGTAGAAAAAGCATTTAAAGTTGTGTCTATGTCCGAATTGCCGAATCTTTGCGAATCGATTCGGAGGGTTCCGATACGATTCGGAGAGATTAAAGGGTCCTTTGATTCAGAGATTTGGCCACTGAATCAGGCCGAATCTCCACTGGATTGAACCAGGGACTAAAGCTTCGTACAGCCCTAGTGCTGAATGCTTTGTAGGGATGTCAGAGAAGCAGCTTCCCAGTGCATCTTTCATTCTCAAAAGCTCTTCTGTGAAATGAGTGTCCATAAATGGTCTTTGAGGGTCAGATGGCAGTGAGATGCTATTTTGGTTTCACATTGTAGAACAGTGTTGTGTGTGCCCCCCTGTGGTAGAAGATCTTTGGAAGCAGTTTGTGAGGACTTTCTGTTAAGTTGAATCCACCTTCGTGATAAATTTGAGTCTTATCCTGGGGTGAAATTCACCGCTGTGTAGGTGGCTAGAACAAAGCTATTTACACTTAAGCCTTCAGGCTTTGTGCTGATCCTCTGCCCAGGGCCAGCACATAGGAAGACTTTTAAAAGTAATCACATAATTTTATAGGCAGCTACTTATACAATAAAGCACTGAGTAAACTGAAAAAAAAGTTTCTCATCTCTTTCTGCCAGGAAATTTTCATGTCAGGAAATTGACCAAGCAATATTATTGTTGTTATGTCTGTCTACTTCATTTAAGTCATTACTGCAGCATTATTTATAACATTACTAAATAATCACTCAAATGGCATAGTAGCTAAGACTTACTAATGGCTAATATCAGTGATATATAACTTCTATTCATTTTAAAGAAAAGATATTGCATTTCTATTAAGATTGGTGCTTCATCAATTTTCAATTGAGAGGAATTTATTGTTAAATAACTGTAAATGTTTTGCAAAGATCTTTGGGTTTGGGTTGGTATGCAAAATGTTTTCAAAGTATCATTTTTAAAAGCGTGGTGTCTATTAAATGGAGATGTAGATCTCTGTTGCGATTTTGGAGGTTAATACTTGATACAAGTTTTTTGGTTAACATTTTGTTCATATTTATAATGGATTTGAAATTAACATGTTCCAGCAGAATCTATAGGACCTTGAGCTGTTTTCTATCAGTTCTCAAAGCCAGGTTAGTTCAGTGCATTGATAGCAGGAATATCCAGATGGTACCAAAAGTGAATCCGTGGGTAGAATTTTCATCTTAAATTGGCATTAAATCAATGCCCAGTACAAAATAAGGAGGGGAGGAAACTGTAGCTAGAGTTGCTACCTTCTGTGTGTACCCCTGGCTGCGGGGCTACCCGCAAACCCACAGCCCAGCTCTGGATTCCTAGAGGTGCCCACAGCCTGGAACCACCTCACCTGCCCTCCTGGAGTGAGGCAGTTTCCCCTCAAAGGAAGGCACCTACTGTCCCTGGACTTTCAATTAGACACCGCACAATTTACAACTACATACACTTTATTAAAAAAGGGTTAAAGAAAAGGAAACTAATTAATATGCATCCAGTAAACTGTCAGAAACTTATTCACACTCTCAGTCAATAATGTCATACACAATGATGGGCTCAGATGATACGTGTACACAGGTAGCCTGGACCGGATGCCCACGAAGGAGGAGCTGCTTCCACACCCCTCCTGCAGGAAACGTGGGTGGGTGCTTGTTGTGAGGGTCTCC